AAAAAAAAAAAAAAAAGAATGAATGAATGGCCTCCAAACATTGGGGTCAGAAGGGGAATGGTGTCAAGTGTCTCCCACTGTCCTCCTCCCCAACACCGACCATCCTCTCTGCCCAGACACAGCAGACTCTGCAGCATACCCAGCGGGAGTGTGGCCTGAGTGTGGTGAGCCGGAGCCTGAGTGAGGTAATTCGGCTTGAATCACCGTCTGCTGATTTTCCCTGATTCATTTGCCATTTTGGAAAAATTTCTGTACCCAACTCTATCCCCTTTCTGGGGGGGGGGGGGGCCCAGCCGGTGTTCTTGCCAATTTCGAGGAATTTCTGTACCCAACTAACTCCCACCGCCATCCAGGTGGCTAAGGCTAAGAGGAGGGTCCTGCCTTCGCCCCGTGTTCCTGCCGATTTCGAGGAAGTTCGAAGCCCAACTCAGGCAGCTATCCGGGTGGCCAAGAGGCGGGTCCTGCTCTGTCCCCGTGTTCCTTCCAACCCCAGGGCATAGATGGGGGTTCGGTGGCGCCGTCACCTTCGGGGACTTGGGGGGCCGAGTTCCCGGTCGGGTTGCGGAGCTGGGAGTGAGGACGGGGCCGCCGGACTGCGCGGGGGTCACTCACCGGTTTCCGGGCGTGACGGGGACAGCACCAGCAGAGCCAGCAGCAGCAGCAGCGGCCACCCGGCGGCCGCCATGGCTTGGGCCGTACCAGCCACTCCGGGCAGCTGGGCCCCGGCGGGAGGGCCGCCTCCACGCTCCCCGGCGCGCTCGCTCTGCCGCAGCTCCTGCGAGTCCAGATCCCGGAGCTCGGGCCCTGGAATCCCCACGGGGCGGCTCCCCCCGTGCCTGGGAAGGGGAATACCCGCTTCTTTAAGCTCCAGACAAGTGACTGACGAGGAGGGGAGCTGACAGCCGGGTGCCCCCGCGCGCGGGGGCCCCAATCTGCGCATGTGTCTCCCGGCCCTCAGTCTGGAGACGTACGCTCGCTGGTTCCCTAGGTGCGCATGAGAAGAGGCGGCTTCTCGACGCCAACTTTCCAGAGGCGTGCGGACAGATTCAGCAACCGAGGCTCAGGGTTGCAGCGTGGCAGAGCCGAGGTTCCAACTCGTGATGGGACAGATCCTGAGCCCACCAGGCTGTGCTTCCAAGCAGCCCAAACCCGTGGGCTCTCATGTTGGGAAAATGGCTTCTCCTCGAGGGCCCTCTGATTCTTTACCTGAAAAATGGGCATAGTAGGGCGCAGTGGCTCGGGCCTGAAATCTCAGCACTTTGGGAGGCTGAGGCGGGAGGACTGTGGGAGCTCAGGAGTTAGAGGCTGCAGTGAGCCACCATAATGCCACCGCACTACAGCTTGGGTGACAAAACCTGACTTCGTTTCAAAAAAAAAAAAAGTTGGGGGTTGGGGGCGCAGGCTCAGTGGCTGATGCTGGTAAGCCCAGCACTTTGGGAGGGCAAGGCGCGTGGATTACCGTAGGTCAGGAGTTCAAGACCAGCCTTGTCAACATGGCGAAACCCCATCTTTACTACAAATACAAATGGTGGCACATGCCTGTAGTCCCAGCTACTAGGGAGGCTGAGTCAGGAAAATCGCTTGAACCTGGGAGGTGGGGTTGCAGTGAACCGAGATCCCGCCTCTGCACTCCAGCCTGGGCGACAGTGTGAGACTCCATGTCAAAAAGAAAAAAGAAAAAGCATACTAACAGTACTTACCTCACATCGTGGCTTGTAAAAAGCTTAAACAAGAAACTGCTTAGTTCAGTTTCAGGTCTGAACTAAATAAAAAGCAGATATACCAACAATAGCAGCAGTAGCAGTGGCGATTATTATTATTGTTGCTTTACAGTTGCCATCAAAAAATAATGTTCATGAGAATGGTGATTCATTCAGTCTTCATTCAACGTATATGTATTAAGCCAGCCAGTAACTCAGGCACTGGGGATACAGCAGAAAATAAGACAGACAAAAATCTCTGCCTTTAATGAAGACTGTGTTCTAGTGGAAGGAAACAGACCATAAATAGATAAACACAGAGAACTCCATCATGTCTGGGGGAGATAAGTGTTATGGACCAAGCTGCAGTAGGGAGAGGGGAGGAGGGAGGGACAGAGAGAGGAAGAAATGGGAGAGAAACAGAGAGACACACTCAGAGATAGGGACTGGGAGACAGAGACAGAGAGAGAGTGAAAGAGAGACACAGCATAGACAAGAGTGAGATGAGAGAGAAATGAGAGGTGAGAGAGATTGGGAGAGCCATACCCTCAGAGATGGAGCCTGAGAGACTTCATGGTCCCCAGAGGTGTCTGTCCCAGCCAGGGTCTCCCTGAGGCCGACTAACAGCAGCTCTGGTCCCTCTTCTCTAACATCCTTATATCCTTTTTATTAAAAAAATTTTTTTAGACAGGATCTCACTATTTCACTGAGGCTGGAGTACAGTGTCACCATCATTGCTCACTGCAGCCTCCACCTCCTGGGGTCAACTACTCCTGTCTCCACCTCCCCAGTAGTTTAGACCATAGGCGTATGTGATAACTCCTAGTTTTTAAATTTATTGTAAAGACGGCATCTCGTTATGTTGCTCAGGCTGATCTTGAACACCTGGCCTCAAGCGATTCTCCCACCTTGGCCTCCCAAAGTGCTGGAATTACAGGCGTGAGCCACTGTACCCGGCCCCACATTCCCGTAGCTTTCTGTAAAGTCCCTCCTTTGGGTTTTGGCTGGCTCGGAGGTTTCTGTCCCCGGGTGCCCTCTTTGACTTGGATCTGATGCTTGCTCAAGACACATCTGATGGTTGGGGTCTCTCACCCTGGATGAATGTAGGTGAATTTCTAAATGGAAACATGGAGGCTGGTCTCTTGGAAATCTCTGAATTTTCTGTCACTCCTGTTCTGCTATTTCCAAATGGGGAATCTGTAGCCGTCATGTTCCTCCTCTGGACGATGCCGTCACCATCTGGGGTTCCCCCGCCTCTCAGGGCTCCCCAGCTCCTGTGGCTCCAGGGTATCCTCTCAGGTCCCAGAGGGTCAGAGGCTGCCCTGAAGAAGCAGGCTTACAAAAAAAAAAGCAAGTTCGGTTTGGGGCATATCTGCTTGCTTCTGTGTTTCTCTGCCAAGAGTCTAAATTCCTTGAGTATTTGGATCAGTTGTAAACATTTTCTTCACTCAAGTGCTAAAATATCCTCTGAATAAACAGTGAATGGACATCTCCAGTGGGTATCCTCTTTTTTTGTATTTGTTTATTTTGAGACGGAGTCTTGCTCTGTTACCCAGCCTGGAGTGCAATGGCGCGATCTCAGCTCACTGCAACCTCCGCCATCCAGGCTCAAGCGATTCTTGCGCGTCAGCCTCCCAAGTAGCTGGGATTAAAGGCCTGAGCCACCATACCCAGCTAATTTTTTGTGTTTTTAGTAGAAATGGGGTTTCACCATGTTGGCCTGGCTAGTCTCGAACTCCTGAGCTCAGGTGATCCACCCTCCTCAGCCTCCCAAAGTGCTGGGATTACAGGCGTGAGCCACCGCGCCCAGTGGGTATCCTTTTTCATGCTGTGGTTTTCAAACCTCTGGATCCAAAAGGATCGCTAAGAAGCTTGTAAAAATATGAATCCATTTCCTTATTCTTCCCTCTCCCATTAAAAAAATAAAATGGTAGCATTGTTCCGTCTCTTTTACAAACCACCTCACATCATGGTTTGTAAAAAGCTTAAACAAGAAACTCCTTAGCTCAATTTCAAGTCTGAACTAAATGGCTTAAACTGAACTAAACTTAGCGACAGGTCTGAACTAAACTTAGCAACATATCTTGGTGATTTTCCCATAGGCAGACATATTGAGCTACCTCATTCACTCATTCATTTACAGATGTGTAGTAGGACATTGTGTGACTGCAGAGTCATTTTCGAAACTGTCCTCAGGGGATGGGCCTTTTTGGGTGTTTCCAGCTCTTTTGTATTTGCAGTCTGTGCTTCCCTGGGTCATTATGTCCATGGCATTTCCCATGTATGTGACAGTGTCTGTCATTTTTATTCCCAGAAACAGATTTGCTGGGTCAAAGGGCATGCATTCCTGGTTTAGATGATATTGCCAAATTGTTGTCCAGCCCCCAGGCCAGCAAAGTAAGGGCGTGGAGTGGCTTCTACCCAGGAATGCTCATGGAAGTGACTCAAAGTTTAAAAATTTCAGATGTGCAGCTGGGCATTGTGGTTCATGCCTGTAATCCTAGCACTTTGGGAGGCTGAGGTGGGAAGATTGCTGGAGGCCAGGTGTTTGAGACCAGCCTGGGCAACATAGCGAGACCCCCCCCCCACCATCTCTACAAAAAATTTAAAAATGAGCCAGGTGGGTGGCACATGCCTGTAGTCCCAGCTACTTGGGAGGTTGAGGTTGGAGGATCCCTCAAGCCCCAGAGTTTGAGGCTGCAGTGAGTGATGATTGCGTCACTGCACTCCAGCCTGGGTGATAGAGTGAGACTCTGTCCACCCCAAAAAGGAAAATGTCAGATGTGAAGCTTTGTCCAGAAGGGTGTGATGTAGGAGGCCTGGGAGCAGGGAAGAAAGGGAGAAAGACCTGGAGAGCAAGAAGAGAAGGCTGGGGATGAGGGCTCCAGAGACTCCCTTGGTTCAAATTCTGCTTCCACCCATTGGTAGCTGGGAATCTTAAGCAACCTGTATTGCTTCTCTTGCCTCTTTTTTCTCATCCACAAAATAGGGGCTTTTAAAAACATGAGGTGATAATTAAGTAAGTTATTCAGAAACAAATTGTATGTGGCTGATCGTGGTGGCTCATGTCTGCAATCCCAGCACTTTGGGAGGCAGAGGTGGGTGGATCACTTGAAGTCAGGAGTTCAAGACCAGCCTGGCCAACATGGTGAAACCCTGTCTTTACTAAAAACACAAAAACTAGCTGGGCAGTAGTGGCATGAACCTGTAATCCCAGCTACTTGGGAGGCTGAATGACTTGAGCTGAGGAGGCGGAGATTGCAGTTAGCCAAGATCACACCACTGCATTCCAGTCTAGGTGACAGAGTGAGATTCTATTAAAAAAAAAAAAAAAAGTATGTGGTTTAAAAAGTTATTTATTTAACTGCTGAACAAATGGCAGCAATTATTATTCATGTTTCCTGGGACTTATGATTCTTCATCTGAAAAGGGTGGGCATGGCATGGCACAGTGGCTCAGACCTGAAATGTCAGCACTTTGGGAGGCTGCGACGAGAGGACTGTTTGAGTCCAGGAGTTAGAGGCTGCAGTGAGCCACTAACTTGTTTCTGATCAGGGGTGCCTTATTACCTTGCTGGGCACTCCTGATTAGGAACTACTGCCACAGGCAGTAAGGAGCTATAGAGAGTTTTACGCAGGGCAGCGGCTGCATCAGAGCTAAATCTCATGTTCCTCACACAGAAAATGGTAGTGATGGCCAGGCGTGGTGGGTCACACCTGTAATCCCAGCACTTTGGGAGGCCAAGACGGGCGGATCACAAGGTCAAGAGAATGAGACCATCCTAGCCAACATGGTGAAACCCCATCTCTACTAAAAATATAAAAATTAGCCTGATGTGGTGGTGCCTGCGTACAGTGCACCTGCAGCAGTCCCAGCTACTCGGGAGGCTGAGGCAGGAGAACAGCTTGAACCCAGGAGGTGGAGGATGCAGTGCTGAGATCATGCCACTGCACTCCAGCCTAGACAACAGAGCGAGACTCTGTCTCAAAAAACAAAACAAAACAAAACAAAACAAAACAGAAAAACAAGAAAATGGTAGTGAGTTTGTCATTCTTTAGGAACGAGTCTGTGTCACCTACCAGGCTGTAAGTTTCACGGCAGCTAGTCCAAGGCTGTGTAACTCATGTCCTGCCCTCTTTATGGTGCCACTGTGGTGAGAGACAGAGAATGGGGTTGATGGTTTTGGTAGGGCAAAGCTTTCATCTTCTGTACTCTGAGGATACATATGTAAGAGCTGGAAAAGAAAACCCTGGAAACATAAGCTTGCTTGTCCTTCCCCAATAGCCTGCGGCCATGGAGAAGCACGTCCCGTCTCTCATTTCCCTCCCGTCCCCGCACCGTGCCCACATCTACCTGGGGTGTAGTGGTGCCTCACCATAGTTGTTTTCCTTCTTTCTCTCCCTCCACATCTCTGGCTCTTTCTTT